CACCTGGGAGCAGAGGCGAGCGCCCTGGTTCCAGGCTATTCTCTCAAGAGTTTGGAGAGCAAACAGTCTCAGAGGCAGAGATGCTGTGTCCCCCGGGCTGGTGCCTCACCAAGGCCACTACTCTGAGGGTCTAAGGAACTCAGAGACCTGCGCCTCCAGAAGGACAAGTCTACCATGATGATGGCACAGAAAGATCTCAATTTCCCACTCATGCAGGAGCTGAGCTGAGCAGATAGTGGGGCCAGTGTCACTTGCTGATGTCCATGTGGGTCTGTGATTAAAATGGTCCTCAAGGAGAGAATCCAGTGGGTTTATTACTCACCTCCTGCTTCAGGGCAGCTTTCTTTGATGTCCTTGCAGCTCCTAGGCAAGGAGGAGAAGGGAGAGGCACAGGTATTGATTTCTGGGATCTCGTCGGGACACTTGGCAGGACATCTGGCAGTTGCTAAAGGAATGAGAAGAATTCTCATAAACCTGGTGGGACGGCTCCCTGGTGGTGCAAGGGATTAAGTCACAGCACTATGAAGCTTTCCGCGGCCACTGCAGTCCAAGTTCAATATTCAGACAGGGAGATACCCACATGGCGCAGCAGACCTCTCCTGTCTTGCCGCTGATCCCCTCAGCAGTGCATTTCACTCAGTCTCCCTGTCTGTTCCCCACTCTGTCTCTGGTGAATAACCCTCCACACCTCTGGCCTGTACCCCAGTTCTTGTATGCATAAATAAATAAATCTTTAAAATAATAAAATGACATACAACAACATGGATGGAACTGGAGGGGATCGTGAAGGAGAAACATCAAAATCACAGGGTTTCACGTCTATGTGGAATATAGAGAAACAAAATGGAATATCAGACAGAACCAAAACAATAACCAGTCTGAGAAATCTGTTGCTAAAATTAAGGCCACCAGGGAGGGTTGGGGAGCAGGGAGAGCAATGAGTGGTGGAAGCCCAGTGGACTATGGAAGTAGACGGTGGGCACCTTGGTGGAGGGCGAGGGGGGCCACATGCATCCGGAGAGCATTTCCTATACCTCTGACTGCACACAGAGCTATAAAACAGTATTACCTCAATAAAATAAAAACTCTGATATGTCTGGTGTCTTGGTCCCATTCTCGCTGCTGTCAGATCCACCCCTCCCTGCATTATCTGTCCCTCAGTTTGCTTTGAGGCCCCTGAATCTGAATCCTCCCTGCTAGAGGATCTGGCCCTGCCTAGTACAGGCTACACTGACTCTTCCACTCCGCTAATGACAGCCCCATTATTGAAAGGAGGATGTTTCTGGACACAGCAGCTTCCTGTGGTTGTCAGACGCCAAGGACATGGGAGCAGTAGTTACTGGCATGACAGGGTCCTGCTGTCCTTCTCCTGGGTGTCTCTCAACCACTCCGGGGCATGCAATGGACCCCAGAACCCCCTTAGCCTACTCCCTGACTGCCTCAGGCCGACACCAGGAGAGCCAGCATCAGCACCCAGGCCTCCCTACCCAGCTCAGTATGGCTTCTGTGCATCCCCTGACTTCCTCTGCCCAGGACTTAGATGCCCAGTGCCTCTACTGACCCCTTGTCCCACCCCCTTGCCTTCAGCTCACACAAGTATACTGTTGCCCCAGAAACTCACCTGCGCTCCAGATGGCCACTGAGAGGAACAGCAGGAAGCAGGTTCTGGCCATTGTCCTCTAAGGAGAAATAAGATGCACAAGGTCACTGCATGGACTTTTCTCTCCTGCCATCCTTATCCCCGACCTTTCTGAGGCAGGAAATCTCAAAGGAAAGTGATGGGCCTCTGGAAGTTCTGGAACCTCCTGGAATAACCCACCCTGGTTCAACCCAACAAATACCAGGGTCTAGGGTCCTTCTCTGACTCTCCTATCCCTAAAACCACACCAGACCTGAGCTGGCATCTTTGCTCCCTGCCAAATACATAGGCATTGTGTGTGCAGACTCAGAAAGTCCTCCTCAGGCATCCCTGTGGCGCAGGGGGTTAAGATGCAGCACTATGAAGCTACCCACAGCCACTGCAGCACGAGTTCAATCCACAGCTAGGGAGATACACACAGGCGCAGCAGACCTCTGCTGTCTCGCCCACTGGCCCCCTCAGCTGTGTATTTCACTCAGTCTGCCTGTTCTGTTCCCCTCTCTGTCTCTGATGAATTCTCATAGCCCCCACACCTCTGACCTGTATCCCAGTTCCTGCATGCTTACATAAATAAAACTTTTTTTAAAAGTCCTTTTCACCAGACCAGAATGCTCCCTTCTTCTGTCCCCACAGATGCTTGGAGCTGAGGGTTCTCTGTCAGGTGCAGACTCAGCGCCGCTGCCTCTGCAGAGGGTGCTGAAGAAGGTGAAGTGCTGAGACTTTATAAGGAGAACCACTCAGCAGGCCCTGCCCAGCCCTGCCCTCTTCTGACCCTGCCTCCCTCTGATGTCCCTCCCTCTGAAGAGTGCTGGGTCCCTGGGAAGGAGAAGGCATGTGTGTCTGGCTGGAGGATGGGGCCATGTGCCCGGTCATGCAGGTGACTCTGACATGGGGAGGGGACCCTGCTTTGGCACAGCAAGCACAGAGCTTCATTGTGGGACGAGATAGCAGAGGTGGGACCCTATAGCCCTTGCCTGCCGCCTCCTCCCCTTCCCTATCAGCTGCTCCAGAGCCTCAGACACACCTCTGTCCAGACCTCATCTTCTGTGTCTCCTTAACCTTCTCCCTGAGGCCACCCTCACACCCAGCCCCCCAGCTGTGCCTCCTCTGGGTACTACTGTGCACCCGTCCACACTCATCAGTGCATGCATCTCATTGCTCTTTCATTCTCTTAATGAATTTTGTGTATAAATACTTCAAAATTTTCAAAACACAGCAAAATGAGCAGTCCAAAACAAGCATATTCCCTTTACCTAGATTCATCTTTTGCGAATATTTCACTGCATTCAAATTATCATTGGTATACTCTCCTACACAGATATGCTCACGTTTTCACTTCTGAAAGATTTGGAAGTAAATGAAGTAGAGCATGGCCCTTTACCCGTAGGTGAGTGTGGCTTCAGATAATAGAGCCAGGCTCACATAAACCCACCGCACGGATGACAGGGGCTGGGAGAGCGGGGGAGATCGGGTGAAACACTAAGCTGGTATAGTAGGAAATCTGCACTCATGTACAGTTTATGGCCTGTCTGCTCTGAGTTAATTTTCCAGCCCAAGGACACATCTGGAGGAGTGTGGGGAGCCGGTGTTATCTGAAGAGCAGCCTCTGCACAGTGGGACAAGACTGAGGCCTGGTCCAGGAGGGCGATAAGGGAGCTGCACATCATGGGCTCCTGGCAGCAGTGAAGGCCCCCTGACTGCTGATCTCTCTTTGTTCAACTCACTATAAAAACAGAGCTGGTGGGGTCTGCCTGGTGCTGCAAAGGATTAAGACGCGGCACTGTGAAGGTACCTGCAGCCACTGCAGCATGAGTTCAATCCCGGCCACGGAGGTACCCGCATGGCACAGCAGACCTCTCCTGACTTGCCCGCTGCTCCCCTCAGCAGTGTATTTCAGTAGATCTGCCTGTTCTGCTCCCCACTCTGTTTCTGGTGAATCCTCTCACCCACGCCCCTCTGGCCTGTACTCCAGTTCTTGTATGCATAAATAAATAAATCTTTCAAAAAAAATAAAAGACAGCTGGAAACGAAATGTTAAGGTGGTTTCTTTACGATGATAACCACCGCCATCTTCCAGACTGCCGGCTGTCTGATTAAAGATTCAATTCCTGTCTCTACTTTATTGGCATTTGGCAGTGACATGTGGCCCGAACTCGGGTCTTCTGGTTACACAAGTACCAACTTCATATCACTGATGTCCTGATTGTAACTGGTCCTTCGAGGGAACACCAGCCATGAGGTCACACAGGGGGTCAAACGAATGCCACACAGGTATGGCATTGATGCCTCTGATACTTCTCTTTTTTTTTTGTAATTTAAGGACACTTCTCTTGTATCATCTCCTCACTTTGTTAGATTTTCTGTCCTCTTGAAAGACCTTAATCCCCAGGGGGTGGCAGGCATGCTAACAAAAAAGATTCCTACATTCTACAAATGCCCAGCCCGCCTGGCTTGTTTCTGTGCTGTCCACTGCTGAGGCTCCTGTGACCCCTGACCCTGCCACTCGGCATCCCTGCACCTCAGGTGCTGGGCCAGCTCTTGCTCCAGATGCTGCTGCCCGGGGTGCTGCTTCCTTTCCCTCCAGGCCTCCTGTCGGCAGGTGCGGGGGCATCCACCATGTTGGGTGGAGGAAAGAAACCTCTTTTCAGTTCCCATGATAGGAATTTCAGACAGAAAAGTAATACCTGCTCTAGCTGAAACAAAGGGAAAGCATTTATTTGGGGCCTTAAGGATTTTGGCCTGGAAGGCTCATTCAAGTTGCCCCTGAATCCTGTTCCTGGTTCATGGGGGGATGGTAGGTTCATGAAGGCAAAAACAGCAAAGTTTCGAGAATTGCTTTCCAGAAATAACAGTAGGTAGTGGCACATGAAACCTACATCTGACTGCTACACAATTGGGTATTAGACAAGTTTCCAAAAAGAAAAGCCTGTTGTCAGCACCTGTGGATGTTTGTCAAGGATGTTTTTAGTTTTTCTGAGTAAACATACTTTCAAAAGATTCTTTTTTTTCTTCTTTGGGTGGGTAAAAATCACATCCAAGGGTCCTTCACTCCCTTTTAAAAATTCTTGTACAGAGTGACTCCATTTTGGGCCTCCCCTGGTGGCACACATTTGAGCGCAGCGCAGTGAAGCTGTCCACAGCCTCTGCAGCGCCGGTTCGATTGCAGCCAGCCAGTGCGGGTCCGACATGGCTCAGCACACTGTCCTGTCACGACTTCTGCTCCCCTCAGCAGTGTATTTTGTCAGTCTGCCTGTTCTGCTCCCTGTGCTGTCTCTGGTGAATCCTCTCACCCTCCCACGCATCTGACCTGTACCTAGGTTCTTGTATAAATAATAAATAAATAAATAAATGCCATAAAAATAATAAAATGTGTTTTATTTATTTATTTTATTTCCCTATTTTAGGAAACAATTCAAACAAATCCAGAGTCACATGCTGATGTAATTTATTGTCCCCTCCTCCTTGCTAACACTCAGTTTTCCCATCTCTGAGCATCTGGGGTGAGGAGCTGGGTCAGTCTCCCAGCACAGAGCCCTCACCGGTAGAACAGGAGCACGGCCGCCTCCGTTATGCTCCGACTGCTGCTCCACAGAGTATGGGTTCCATATCCATCCCAATCATAGGCGCAGAAGTCCCCACATTGTCTGGGATTGCCCTCTGCGAAGAAGCCTCCTCCACCAATGCAGTGCTGGGAAGCAGGGAGACACATGGTAAGGGATTTGCAGCCCACACCTGTGAGCTCTTCTTGGACGAATCCTGGAATCTTTGGTCCTGGTCATCTTGTCTTTACCACCCCTCCCATAAAGTCTCCTCGCCCGGTACAGACAAGTCATTCTCTGTCCTAGTTCCTTTTGACCTTTTCCTTAGCATTCCCTCTCAGGGCCGGCACTCACCTCCCTTCACAGCCATCCCCTAACTGCTATTCCCAAGACTCACTGCACATCTCATTCTCTCTGTTACGACTCATCTTCTCCACATGCTACCTATTACCAGTCTACTATGAAATTACCGATACTTCCTAAATCTCTGGGGCTGCCAGATATGTCTTAGGCTTGAGACCCACATCCAACCCACTGGATGCCTCTGCCTAGATACCACCCAGCGTTCTCACCTCCACCGACCCAAACAAAAGGATTCATCTACCTGATGGCCCTAAGCTGTTCCTCATCACATCACCTGTCTTAATGGATGGCACCAGTCCCCAAAACAAAACCTAAAGTCTTTTAGTCTCCTTCACTTTCCAACCCCATGTTCATCCGGGGTCAAGAACTGTTGACCTATCATCTTCCTGTCCCTGGTCCATCCAAACTCTTTCAACCTGTTAAGAACATTGAACTCTGGATCTCCATGATGGCCTAGGGGTTAAATCTCAGCACTATCACCTCTACAGCTTGAGTTCGAACCCTGGTAAGGGAGCTAACCCATGTGGCACAGCAGACCTCTCCTATCCTACCCACACCTCCCCTCAGAAGTATATTTCAGTCAATTCTCCTGTTCTGCTCCCCACTTTGTCTCTTGTGAAACCTCTCACCACCTGCACCTCTGGCCTACACCTTCTATGCAAAAATAAATAAATAAATCTTTAAAAAAAAAGATGCAGCTGTGACTTCAGGTCAAGGACAGTCAGGTGAGAGGAAGATGCCCTAATGATGCCCTTGTTCTGTGAGGCTGACTCGCACTCCTCCTAGCCCATCCTCAGATGTCCCCCGGGGCAGAGTCCAGTCACCCAGCCATGCTTCTTTCTCCCTCAAGACTTGAAAAGGCAACCCATAAAACTTCTGAAAGCTATGTGAACATTAGAGAATATCTTCGAGATCTGAACAGAAGGAAAGAGAAAGACTTCGTGAACAAAACTGATGTACTAATCATACAGGAAAATGTTGACAAACTGATTTTTGTGAACATGAATAAGAACCCATCAAGAGAATAAGACTAATACAAAACACACACACACACTCACACACATGTGCGCGTGTGTGTTCTTACTGTCCACAAAACTTACAGCATCAGTGTTGCAGCCGGTAACTCTCATCCCAGGACACAGGGCATTGGCTGCTCTCTCATTATTAAACACCCTGAACTGGACAAATCCAGAAACAAACTCCTCTGGAAAGAAAGAAGAGAGAAAGGGTCAAGAGGTCAAAGGAGGAAGTAAACCAGCTTCCTGTGCCCAGCAGGGATTCCCTGACCAGCAGTTCTGGCTGCAGCCAGCACTGCAGCATAGGGACAGGCCAGCACCTCTGGGGTCTGTGGCTGGTGCTCCTGGGCCTCACTTTGGCTTGAGGGGCATCTCTCTCCTACTGGAGCAAGAAGCCAAGGCTGGGCTCACAGAGAACACTTGTCTGCCAAAGTTTACAGGGCAAAGTAGACTCAGAAAGATCACCAAGAAGACCCACAAAGGTCCAGCAAGGGACACGGTTATCCATGTCCATCTGCTGCTGTTACTCATCTCTCAACTGATAGCCAGGTGTCTGTTTTCCTGTCTATGCTAGCGGCTGTCACTGAAATATTAATGTAAAGAGTGATGCCTATAATTTTCCCAAAAAGATTTCACTTCTACTTTACTTCTGAAAAGATGTCTTTAAAATATCATTAATAGCTGTCCTTCATTAAAAAAATGAATTTTCTCACCACATTGCCATGTTCCTCCTGTGATCATATATCTACATGTTTTCTTAACCATTGTAAGAAACTGTACAGAGTGCCAAGGATCTAAGGTTTACTTTCTAGCAAGTGGAAATAATAGTCATTCCAACTCAAAGTTGTCTCATGATTAATGGACAAATTCTTAGAAGAGAGATTTGTACATTGGAAGTATTCATAAATGGCAGCATTTTTTAATTGCCATTACTTCCCACATTTCCCAGGCCTGCAGGGAGGATTCATGACCAGTCCCACGGAGCAAACACTTACTCTGACCAAGCGGTGAGTAATAAGATGCGGCTTTCTTTTCATCCCCATAGTCATAGACCACTGGGACAGCCGGGCCGTTGTCACTGGAACAACTCCCTATTCCATACTTCACTGGGTATCTCTGCAGGGACAGACAGAGGCTGTGTGAGGATCATGGGATGCTACCATAGTACAGAGATTGGGGAGGTGGGTAATCCCTTCACAATCACATTTGCAAATCAGTCTTAATTCTGGTGATCCTTGGAGACTGCTCCTGCCCCTCTCAAATATTAAAAATAGGTCTACTGTATGGGCCTCCTGGTACCACAGGGGTTTAAGTCTTATTGTTATCAAACCAGTCGCTGCAGCATGAGTTCAATCCCCAGCCAGGAAGCTAACCCACATGGCACAGCAGACCCTGCTGACCTCACCGGCTGCTCTCCTCAGCAGTGTATTTCAGTAGATCTGCCTGTTGTGCTCCCCACTCTGTGTCTGGTGAATCTTCTCACCCCCACACACACACCTTTGGCCTACACCCTAGTTCTTATGTGCATAAATAAATACAAATTGAATATTTTTAAAGAATAGATTACTATGTTTCAGAAAGTATACACCTTAACCTTTATCCAAAGAACACAACAATATTAACTCAAAGGGATATAAGAACTTCTCTGTTCATTGCAACACTGTTTACAAGACCCAAATCTCAGAAACAGCGTCAGTGCCCACCACAGGTGAGTGGATAAAGAACTTTTGGGATATTTAGACAGCTGCATATTACTCAATCATAACAAAGGATGATCTCTGGTTATCTGCAACAACATGAGTGGCACTGAAGGGAATTATGCTAAGCTAAATAAATCAGAAGGAAAAGACAAAAACCAGATGATTTCACTCATTTCAAAAAAGATATGAAACAAAGGAACAGACAAACTAAACCAAAACAAAATCTAGAAATCGGACTAAAATTGAAGCTACTGGTAGCCAAGTGGGCAGGTGGCCCTGTGGAGTATGATGGGTCCTTTGGTGATATGAAATGGTCGGTCTTGTAGGAATGATAATACCAAGTCACCAGATAGATCTAGTAGAGTAACATGCATCCCCACCTGCTCATGGACAGTGTTGTAAACCAATGTTACTTCAATAAAGTATAATACAATGTAAAAAGGAAAATCTAGTCATTCTTCTCCCCCATGGTTGTGTCTCCCCCACACCTATAGCTGGTGTCCTTTTCTCTGTCGCCCGTTACTGACCCCCCACTCTCCTTTGGGTGTCTTCCACTGCCCAGCTCAGAGATCCTGAGGAGGCAGCACGGGAGGTCGCCATGAGCCAGAGGGAGGAAACAACAGCCCAGGGCAGCCCCGAGGGACAGAGACCAGAGCCCACTCTCTCCTCCTCACAAAACCACTGCTCTCGTTCCCAGAAGAAAATGCCCCGAGGTAGACCCCATGTACCTGGTACAGGCCAAACAGATTATGTCCCAGGTTCTGGAAGAAGCTGGTGTTGGTGCGATATCTCAGCAAGGCACTGTTCCTCCAGCTCTCAAGGGGGGACTTGTTGGGCACGTGCCAGATGCCCAGGTCGTGAGCCTGGATGTCGTAGTAGCCAGGGTTCTGCAGAGGGACAGACACGGAGCCTGAAAAGCCAGGATTCCCACAAGCAAACACCAAACACGGAGCTCAGTGGAGCTAGAACAGCCCTGGTCAGGAGGTCAGATGTCCATAATACTCACATACCCACTCACGCACACAAGACCCCCAACACCGGGTCCTCACAGCCTCTTTGGAGGATTCTGTCACGCAAGAACCTGGAGGTATGTCTTCTCTCCAGCCCAATCCTACACCCCATTTCTATCCCTCTTGCTTAAGCGGTCAGTTCCTCTCACACTCCACGCCTCTCTCTTACCAGGGGGGCTGTGGGAGTCACCAACCTTGTAGTCATCACTGGTGGCGCCCTCTGCTGACCCAAAGGTGTTGTAATTGGCCCAGTTGCCATCGCCCTCTGGGTAGTCCATCCTGTTGCCCTGCTGGCTGGACCAGCGATCGCCCGCCGTGCACTTCCCAGCCAAGTGGTTCTCGTGCACACTGGCCACCAGGGTCCAGCCGCCCCCATCAGTGGTCATGTCACAGAAGGTCTGGTAGACGACCCCTTTCTCGGTGCTGAGGAAATACAGGCCATCTGCAGGGGGAGGTAGTCCAGAGTCCCTGTCTGAGAGCTGTGACCATCCAGCCCCACAACCAGAAAGGCACAGGAGGCCCAATAGATGCTGGGGGCCCTCACCTGGCCACGTGTGAGGAGGAGTCTCTAGGGGTCACCTGGGAGCAGAGGCGAGCACCCTAGTTCCAGGCTGTTCTCTCAAGAGTTTGGAGAGCAAACAGTCTCAGAGGCAGAGATACTGTGTCCCCCTGGCTGGTGCCTCGACAAGGCCACTGCTCTGAGGGTCTAAGGAACTCAGAGACCCACGCCTCCAGAAGGACATGTCTACTGTGATGATGGCACAGAAAGTTCTCAATTTCCCTCTCATGCGGGAGCTGAGCTGAGCAGAGAGTGGGGCCAGTGTAATTTGCTGATGTCAATGGGTCTGTGATTAAAATGGTCCTCAAGGAGAGACTCCAGTGGGTTTATTACTCACCTCCTGCTTCAGGGCAGCTTTCTTTGATGTCCTTGCAGCTCCTAGGCAAGGAGGAGAAGGGAGAGGCACAGGTATTGCTCCCTGGGATCTTGGCGGGACACTGGGCAGGACACTGGGCAGTTGCTAAAGAAATGAGAAGAATTCTCATAAACCTGGTGGGAAGGCTCCCTGGTGGTGCAAGGGATTAAGTCACAGCACTATGAAGCTTTCCGCGGCCACTGCAGTCAAAGTTCAATATCCAGACAGGGAGATACCCACATGGCACAGCAGACATCTCCTGTCTTGCCGCTGATCCCCTCAGCAGTGCATTTCAGTCAGTCTCCCTGTCTGTTCCCCACTCTGTCTCTGGTGAATCCCCTCACCCTCCACACCTCTGGCCTGTACCCCAGTTCTTGTATGCATAAATAAATAAATCTTTAAAATAATAAAATGACATACAACAACATGGATGGAACTGGAGGGGATCGTGCTAAGTGAAATACATCAGAAGGAGAAACATCAAAATCACAGGGTTTCACGTCTATGTGGAATATAGAGAAACAAAACGGAATATCAGACAGAACCAAAACAATAACCGGTCCGAGAAATCTGTTGCTAAAATTAAGGCCACCAGGGAGGGTTGGGGAGCAGGGAGAGCAATGAGTGGTGGGAGCCCAGTGGACTATGTAGTGGACGGTGGGCGCCTTGGTGGAGGGCGAGGGGGGCCACATGCATCCGGAGAGCATTTCCTATACCTCTGACTGCACACAGAGCTATAAAACAGTATTACCTCAATAAAATAAAAACTCTGATATGTCTGGTGTCTTGGTCCCATTCTCGCTGCCGTCAGATCCACCCCTCCCTGCATTATCTGTCCCTCAGTTTGCTTTGAGGCCCCTAAATCTGGACCCTCCCTGCTAGAGGATCTGGCCCTGCCTAGTACAGGCTACACTGACTCTTCCACTCCGCTAACGACAGCCCCATTATTGAAGGGAGGATGTTCTGGACACAGCAGCTTCCTGTGGTTGTCAGATGCCAAGGACATGGGAGCAGTAGTTACTGGCATGACGGGGTCCTGCTGTCCTTCTCCTGGGTGCCTTTCAACCACTCCGGGGCATGCAACGGACCCCAGAACCCCCTTAGCCTACTCCCTGACTGCCTCAGGCTGACACCAGGAGAGCCAGCGTCAGCACCCAGGCCTCCCTACCCAGCTCAGTATGGCTTCTGTGCATCCCCTGACTTCCTCTGCCCAGGACTTAGATGCCCAGTGCCTCTACTGACCCCTTGCCCCACCCCCTTGCCTTCAGCTCACACAAGTGTACTGTTGCCCCAGGAACTCACCTGCGCTCCAAATGGCCACTGAGAGGAACAGCAGGAAGCAGGTTCTGGCCATTGTCCTCTAAGGAGAAATAAGATGCACAAGGTCACTGCATGGACCTTTTCTCTCCTCCCATCCTTATCCCCGACCTTTCTGAGGCAGGAAATCTCAAAGGAAAGTGATGGGCCTCTGGAAGTTCTGGAACCTCCTGGAATAACCCACCCTGGTCCAACCCAACAAATACCTAGGGTCTGGGCTCCTTCTCTGACTCTTCTATCCCTAAGACCCCACCAGACCTGAGCTGGCATCTCTGTTCGCCCCCCTCCCCCCGCCAAACACATAGGCATTGTGTGTGCAGACTCAGAAAGTCCTTCTCAGGCATCCCTGTGGCGCAGGGGGTTAAGATGCAGCACTATGAAGCTGCCCATAGCCACTGCAGCATGAGTTCAATCCACAGCTAGGGAGCTACACACATGGCGCAGCAGACCTCTGCTGTCTAGCCCACTGCTCCCCTCAGCTGTGTATTTCAATCAATTTGCCTGTTCTTTTCCCCACTCTGTCTCTGGTGAATTCTCACATCCCCCACACCTCTGGCCTGTATCCCAGTTCTTGTATGCATAAATAAATAAATCTTTAAAAAAAAATCAGAAAGTCTTTCTCACTAGCCTAGAGAGCTCACTCCTTCTGTCCCCACAGATGCTTGGAGCTGACAGTTCCCTGCCAGGTGCAGACTCAGCGCTGCCACCTCTGCAGAGGGTGCTGAAGAAGGTGAAGTGCTGAGACTTTATAAGGAGAACCACTCAGCAGGCCCTGCCCAGCCCTGCCCTCCTTTGACCCCTGTCTGCCTCTGATGTCCCTCCCTCTGAAGAGTGCTGGGTCCCTGGGAAGGAGAAGGCATGTGTGTCTGGCTGGAGGATGGGGCCATGTGCCCGGTCACGTAGGTGACTCTGACATGGGGAGGAGACCCTGCTTTGTCACAGCAAGCACAGAGCTTCATTGTGGGACGAGATAGCAGAGGCGGGACCCTATAGCCCTTGCCTGCCGCCTCCTCCCCTTCCCTATCAGCTGCTCCAGAGCCTCAGACACACCTCTGTCCAGACCTCATCTTCTGTGTCTCCTTAACCTTCTCCCTGAGGCCACCCTCACACCCAGCCCCCCAGCTGTGCCTCCTCTGGGTACTACTGTGCACCCGTCCACACTCATCCGTGCATGCATCTCATTGCTCTTTCATTCTCTTAATGAATTTTTGTGTATAAATACTTCAAAATTTTCAAAACACAGCAAAATGAGCAGTACAAAACAAACATATTCCCTTTACCTAGATTCATCTTTTGCGGATATTTCACTGCATTCATATTATCATTGGTATACTCTCCTACACAGATATGCTCACGTTTTCACTTCTGAAAGATTTGGAAGTAAATGAAATAAAGCATGGCCCTTTACCCCTAGGTGAGTGTGGCTTCAGATAATAGAGCCAGGCTCACCTAAAACCACAGCACAGGTGACAGGGGCTAGGGACACGGGGGTGGGGGGAGATCAGGTGAAACACTAAGCTGGTATAGTAGGAAATCTGCACTCACGTACAGTTTATGGCCTGTCTGCTCTGAGTTAATTTTCCAGCCCAAGGACACATCTGGAGGAGTGTGGGGAGCCGGTGTTATCTGAAGAGCAGCCTCTGCACAGTGGGACAAGCCTGAGGCCAAGTCCAAGAGGGCGATAAGGGAGCTGCACATCACAGGCTCCTGGCAGCAGTGAAGGCCCCCTGACTGCTGAACTCTCTTTGTTCAACTCACTATAAAAACACAGCTGGTGGTGCCACCTGGTGCTGCAAAGGGTTAAGACGCATGGGCCTCCCCTGAGGCGCAGCTGTTGAGCACTGGGCTGCGAAGCTGCCTGCAGCCTCTGCAGCACGGGTTCGATCCCCGGCTGCTGGGCGAGAGTCCCACATGGCGCGCAGACCTCTCCTGCTGCCCGCTGCTCCCCTCAGCAGTGTACTTCGTCAGTCTGCCTGCTCTGTTCTCCCCTCTGGCTCTGGTGAATTCTCTCACCTCCCCGCACTTCTGACTTACCCAGTGCTTGAATGAATGAATGAATAAATAAATAAACAAACTATTAATTAATTAATTTTAAAAAAACAGACGCAGCACTATGAAGGTACCTGCAGCCACGGCAGCACTAGTTCAATCCCCGGTTAGGGAGCAACCCACATGGCATACAGACCTCTCCAGTTCGCCCACTGCTCCCCTCAGCAGAGTATTTCAGGGGATCTGCCTGTTCTGCTCCCCACTCTGTCTCTGGTGAATCCTCTCATCCCCAATACCTCTGGCCTGTACCCCTGTTCTTGTATGCATAAATAAATAAATCTTTCAAAAAAAAAAAAAAGACAGCTGGAAATGAAATGTTAATGTGGTTTCTTTTTTTTTTTTAAGATTTATTTATTTTTATACAAGAGCTAGGGTATACAGGCCAGAGGCACAGGAGGGTGAGAGGATTCACCAGAGACAGAGCGGGGAGCACAGATCAGGCAGAAGGACCGAAATACACTGCTGAGGGAACAGGAGAGTTCTGCTGCGCCATGTGGGATTCTCGCGGGCTGGTGGGGATCAAAACGGCACTGCAGAGGCTGCGGACAGCTTCACAGTGCTGTGCTCAATCCTCTGCACCACTGGGGAGGCCCAAGACAGTTTCTTTACAATGTTAACCACCCCCATCTTCCAGATTGCCAGCTATCTGATTATAGCACACTTTAAAGATTCAGTTCCTCTCTCTACTTTATTGGCAGTCAGCAGTGACCGGTGGGCCCAAACTCCGGTCTTCTGGTTACACAAGTACTAACTTCATATCACTAATGTCCTGACTGTAACTGGTCCTTCCAGGGAACACCAGCCAGGGGGTCACACAGGGGATCACATGAATGCCACACAGGTCTGGCGTTGATGCCTCTGATACTTCTCTTTTTTTTTTTTTTTTCAATTTATTGATACTTGTCTTGCATCATGTCCTCACCTTGTCAGATTTTCTGTCCCTTGAAAAGACCTTAATCCCCAGGGGGTGGCAGACATACTAACAAACAAGATTCCTACATTCCACAAATGCCCAGCCCACCTGGCTTGTGTCTGCGCTGTCCACTGCTGAGGCTCCTGTGACCCCTGACCCTGCCACTCGGCATCCCTGCACCTCAGGTGCTGGGCCAGCTCTTGCTCCAGGTGCTGCTGCCTAGGGCGCTGCTTCCTTTCCCTCCACGCCTCCTGTCGGCAGGTGCGGGGGCATCCACCGTGTTGGGTGGAGGAAAGAAACCTCTTTTCAGTTCCCATGATAGGAATTTCAGACAGAAAAGTAACACCTGCTCTAGCTGAAACAAAGGGAAAGCATTTATTTGGGGCCTTAAGGATTTTGGCCTGGAAGGCTCATTCAAGTTGCCCCTGAATCCTGTTCCTCGTTCATGGGGGGATGGTAGGTTCATGAAGGCAAAAACAGCAAAGTTTCGAGAATTGCTTTCCAGAAATAACAGTAGGTAGTGGCACATGAAACCTACATCTGACTGCTACACAATTGGGTATTAGACAAGTTTCCAAAAAGAAAAGCCTGTTGTCAGCACCTGTGGATGTTTGTCAAGGATGTTTTTAGTTTTTCTGAGTAAACATACTTTCAAAAGATTCTTTTTTTTCTTCTTTGGGTGGGTAAAAATCACATCCTAGGGTCCTTCACTCCCTTTTAAAAACTCTTGTCGGGGCCTCCCCTGTGGCGCAGCGGTTGAGTGCTGGGTTGCAAAGCTGCCCGCAGCCTCTGCAGCACCGGTTCGATCCCCTGCCACTGGGTGAGTGTCCCACATGGTGCGCAGACCTCTCCTGCTGCCCACTGCTCCCCTCAGCAGTGTACTTCGTCAGTCTGCCTGTTCTGCTCCCTGCTCTGGCTCTGGTGAATTCTCTCACCCTCCTGTGCTTCTGACTGTACCCAGTGCTTGTATAAATAAATAAATAATTTTTAAAAATAAATAAATAAATAAAAACTCTTGTCAACAATGACTCCATTTTGTAAAATTCCCATTTCCTCCCTCAGGACCAGAGTGGACTTGTTTCTGGGTGTCACTCACCCTCAGTGAAGCTGCTCTTCCAGCGAGTCTTCTGCTCCTCCCTCTTAAACCAGACAGGAGTGGAAGGAGGCAAGGACAAAGGATAATTCTGAAGGACACCACGATATGATATGATTTATCCTACAGCCTGAGCTGCACTGCTGGGACATTGTGTGAGTTCCTTCTCAGGTGCTTCTCATCCTTTCTTTTGAGTACTTGCGTGGGCAATAGCTTATTGCCTGTGTCCTCTCCCATGAGGACGGGACTGTGTAGGGTCCTCGCCACATCTCCAGGACCAGCCATGCCTGACAGACCTGGGTCCTCAGCCTGCATGCGCTGAATGAGAAAAAAGGACGCCTGGGGCTTTAACTTGGGCCTGAGTCCTCCCCTACTCCCATCTGCCCTAGGATGGTGTCCAATGCTAACATATACTTGTCTCTGCTCATTTTTGTTACTTTTCTGTACTGTTTCCACCTTTAAATACTCATTAAACGTTCTAACACACACTATTTTCTGAGGGAGTAAAGGAAGAGATGTGGCTGCCCCTGGGATGGAGCAGGCCTGAGACTATCAGAGGCAGCCACAGTCAGAGGAGTGAGGAGCAGATGAGAACCAAGGAACTGGCTGAGATGCAGCTTCCCCGGGCCACTCAGGTCCCCCTGGGCATCCTCCAGTGACACTGGGGAATCTGCCAGAAGACCATGCAGAATAGACTTGTAGACCTACTGGGAGAATTGGGGAGACAATTCTCCTGTGACTGGGTAAAAAGGACCTGTGCTCACATGACCTGTTTCCCATTGTGCATGGTCCATTGAGTGTATATATTTTGCAAATCCCAGAATTTAAATCTCATTCTCCAGAGTTATCTTTTAGCTATGTGTGAGGAAGATCTAAACAGATTTTTTTCCAACGGCAGATTTCGTTCCCCCAGATTTCTTTCTCTGTCTCCTTAGACAAATGTGTCATCACCTATTCTCCACTGCAACTATCCACTTAACATTCTTATACATGTATGGTTATTTATCCATAATTATTTCCTAGAGATAAATTCATGGAAGTGAAATTACTGGGTGAAATAATATGAACATTTTTGAAGATAGATAGATAAATAGATACATAGGACAGATAGATCCTGATAAATTGTGCCAATTTTTATTTTTACCTCTTGTGAATAAGTGAAAGAACTCATTTGTGAAACCTAGCCAATCTTGGTTTATAAACAAGGATTAAAATTGCCTGATAAAATTGCCTGAAAATAATAGCAAATCTTCTACAAAAATCCCAGGATCAGGCCAAGCAGGACTGGTATGGTAGTCAGCTGTGCACAGAGGGTACATAGCCTCTTTGATGTGCCTGCTTCACTTTTTTTTTTTTAAAGATTCATTTATTTATTTTATACAAGAACCTGGGTACAGGCCAGATGCGCGGGAGGGTGAGAGGATTCACCAGAGACAGAACAGGGAGCAGAACAGGCAGACTGACAAGATACACTGCTGAGGGGAGAGCAGCAGGCATGACAGGAGTGGTCTGCCTCGCCATGTGGGACCCTCACCGGCCAGCTGGGATAGAATCGGTGCTGCAGAGGCTGCAGACAGCTTCACAGCACAGCGCTCAACCTCCTGCGCCACCAGGAGAGACCCACCTCCTTCACTTTTGTATATAATTATCAGAATGGCCCAGAATGGCTACTGTCACTCTAAGCATCATATCTGTATTGCTTCAAAGGATTGTCAAGCTTCGAAGTCTTGGCGAAGGGGCCTCTGTTGTCTCTGTGCTAAACCATGTCTGCAACTGCAGACTGGGTATTTTCAAATATTTATTCTAACATGAAACTCAGAGCATGGTTCATTGCCCCCTTTATTCAATGTCCATAATCACACCTTACCTTTTCCAGATTAAAGCTAATTGTTCCCCTGTGTTTCTCATTTCCCCACTAGATGGATAACCTTAAATGGGGATCAGCAAACTTTTTCTTTAGAGGATCTGGCAGTAAATACATTTAGGCCACCTAAATCTTTTTTGCACCACTGATGATCAGGTCTCCAGGGCAAAAGAATGGGTAGAGCATTAATAAACATAAAACAGCTGCCTCAGTTGTTGCTTCTGTAGCTGGTCATGATGCCTCAGCTGGTACCTGTAGCTTCATTCTTCCACCACCTATTCACTGTCTCCTTCACCTTTACCAACACCTTAGCTGGATAGAATTCTTTAACCCAATTCTTTATTCTTGTTGAATCTGAGTCTTCGTGGTTCTAGCTTTAGATGTACCTACCTTTGTGAAGACCAGTCATTCCTTCTTCTCCCCATTGTTGACAGCATCCAGAGTAACCCAACCTGCCACTGGGTGGCTGGGTGATCTCCCCCCAAACAGTGGCACATTGAGGCTCAACACTGACCACTGATGTGAGCAGGATGGACACCCAGAGATGGCAATCACCAGAGGAGCTTTTGTGAAAAGAAGGCCATTGATTGATCTATGAACCTCAGTGTTCCAGAAGCCACAGCACCTGTACATGAGCCACTGAGAAGCACTGAGGGGGTTGAAGGAAGATGCTGACTCACATCCATGGATCCCTTCCACTACCTGCTCCTCAGGTTCATCCTCTTATGATAGGCTAGTA